TTTTGGAGCTTTCGTGACTGCAGGAATTATTCTTTGGTTTTTTCGGTAAAGTCACGTATAAAAATAAAATAATAAATTAAATAATAGCATACGACGTTTCGATTGCAACACAAGCAATCATCATCAGGTATAATGAAATAGCGACATAGAATATAACCAGAAAACTATAGACAGACATATAAGCAGACAGATATCACCAAGATACATAGAGAGAGCAACCCAGGTACAGAGAGAGGTGATCGTCTCTGTGGGGTGGCCTTAAATAGACAGAGGGGGGCGGAGGCAGAGAGAGGGTAGGGAAAACATGACTGCAGGAATTCATATTGTTTGGGTCTTTCGGTAAAGTCACGTAGTTAGGTTCAAAGAAAATAACAAACAAAAAACTACGACGTTTCGATGCCAACACAAGCGGCCATTTTTTTTATGACAACCGATTTGGGTTGCGATCGAAACGTCGTCGTTTTTTTCTTATTTTCTTTGAACCGATCTACGTGACTTTACCGAAAGACCCAAAGAAGAAGACCTCGATATTTCAAGCGCTGCAATGCACGTGGTGAATACGAGACGGCGATCCTCAAAGAACATCACAAAGCCGCTCCTTGGTGAACTGCATGCAGCTTCGGAGCCGCAGGTTGCCGACCCATGATCTGGCCTATAACTAACACATCCGCATTAATCTATCATGCCGCTAAGCTTAAAATGGTACATTTGTAATGGACAATTACCTTTACTGAATAACAATATCGTCTATTCACAAGCGTTCCACGGTATTTCACTTATATTTACCTAAATACAAGGATTAGCTTAAATGACAGAATGATGGCTCATGACTCAAATTTGGCAGGTTGGTTGTACTGTGGCATTGAACCAGATTTAATATAACATAGGATTGAAGCTTTCGTGACTGCAGAAATTACTGTACAAATTGGTTTTATTCGTTAAAGTCACGTATGTAGAAATAAAATATTTAACTAAATAAAATAAAATCACGACGTTTCGAACGCAACACAAGCGATCATCATCAGGTGTAAATGGGGCAAAACACACAGCAAGGGGACACACACAGGGGGACACCAAGCACACAGCCCACACAGAGAACGGCAAACTGCACGGAGGCAAACAACAACAACAAGAAGATGGGAGAACTCAACAAACCTTAGAAACATCACGTGATGCAAAACCAGTCGGCCAACAACACAGTCAGACACTAACCTGGTTGACCACGTACTTCAAAAGACTACAAAATTTCGCGTTCAACTTCTGGGCTGAACATACCAACGTAGAACAGATACGAGGTATCTCTGCTACCTTGTACCTTGTTGTTGTTTGCCTCCGTGCAGGTTACCGTTCTCCGTGTGCGTTGTGCTTCGAAACGTCGTGATTTTAATTCAATTTTATTTAGTAAAATTGTATTTTATTTCTACATACGTGACTTTACCGAAAACAACAATGAGTACAGTTTCATTTTTTACCTACGTGACTTTACCGAAAGAACTAAGAGTATGAATCCTTGCAGTCACGAAAGCTTCAAATCTAGAATGAGTACAGTAATTTAACATCTGAAGGATTTTAGTTAAAGTCCATTTTCGTGTGTTTAATTTGTTGTCCTTCCCCGCCCCCCCCCCCCCGATTAATTATCAGAGTGGGCTACGTACATGTATGCTTACACAACAAAACGTGGCAACACAACCACGGCCACACACCGCAACAACCGCAGACACGTGCACAGACACCCACACACCGCAGCGAGTGCTCAAGCAACCACAATCATAAACCAATCGAAACCACAATCACACAAAAAGGGCGCAAACGCAACCGCACACGAAAACACCAACCGCGCAAGCAAAACGCAACCACAAGCGCAAACACAACGACACCAACAGCAAACACACACGCACACACAGCTGCCCAAAACACAACTACGGGACACGGAGGACTTTCCACGCGTTATCCGCGTCTGAGAAGCAATGGTGGATTCACGGTTTCATTCGTACAATTGTCGAAAAAAATTTACGCAATTCCCATGCGTAAATCCCGTGTGGCAAACGGAAGCGCCAAAAAGCGTGGAGGCACTTTCGGCGATAAGACATCGTCAGTGCGAGGGCCGCCAACACCACCGCCTGCAAGGGTGGTGTGTTTCACACGGTGTATATTCACGGGGGCCGCGCTAAAGGCCACCAGGGCCAGCCAGTAGCCCCACGGGCCTTGCAGTGGAGAACACTGGCGAAGGCGTTCGGGACTCGAGGTCTCAGCTTGGAGATGTGACTCTCTGTCCGTCATTCCTCCGAGACCACGAAATTTGTATTGCTCAGTGGGGAAGTCATCTGTGGTTGTCTCCGTAGAGAGGCTGGTCTTGCCGAGAGAATGTGGAATTTACACCACAGGCTCCAGAACCACCGACAGACAGGAGCACGGCACAGTACTTCTTTGAGGATGGCAGAAATGTTCCAGTGCTATTTGTGACAAGGGACATTTCAGCCCACAAGTTTATGGATATGTAACCTGGCAATTGAAATCTACACGCGTTTATGTTCCTGCATAAATAACCGTGAGATCACCAATAAGATGTTTCTGCTATATACTGGACAACTAACCCATGTGTGTGTGAACACAGGAGACGCATTGTCCTGCTGGGCAGCTTATGAATGGATCATTAGCTTAACCAAGCACGGGTAGCCAGAGGCATGATAAGTTCAGCAGGGGATTAATAAAAAATCATCATTTATTTAATCCACATTTTAAAAATATACTTCCCAGGAATATATAACTGTTTAAAATTACAATATAAGTTCCCACGTTAACCACCGCAAAGTACTTACATTACATATAAATAAAGCAATATATTTTGCGAAATTCTCTTAGAAACAGATGAACATGTTATAAAATCCAGGTTGATATACAACGTCTCGTTAATAATAATAATACTTGTAAGCCAACTCTGTATCGATTAACGAGCCGTGAAATTTCACGGGGTGGCTCGGTCACGGATAACCTACACATTCAAAGTGGCGGCGGCGGTAACGCCCCATGGAATTTTCTAACTAACCCCATGTCCCCCGCAAAGATAGCTACAGCGATCACCTTGAACTAATTACGAAGCAATTCGAACAAACTCCAACGACTACAGCGGAAAGGCCCCAATGTACTTGGCGACTCTTTTTGTTGAGTGCGCGATGTTGCTTTAATGACGGCATTCCAACATCGAAATCGCTCTCACATCTACGAGTGCAGAAGGCGTCCACCGTGTCACGATTTCAATTAATTTGTAAATATTTTACATTTTCATTATTTTGCAGAAACGGGAGTTAAACGTATCTCCTCTACTGGAAGTCAAAGGACGTGATTGACGATAGAGCATACCAATGAAAAAAATTGCAGGCGGCGTTAAAAGAAAAACACTTCATACTATTGCAGGAAGGTTATTTTATTCTTTAAACGCATTGCTAGAAAAAGTAATATCGTATAAAAAGTGGATAAATATGTTACAGTTCCCAAAAAATACCAATATGTTTTAAGTCATCCCGAAGTTGAGAGAGTCTATCCGGTGAAGGGGGTTTTGATTTGACACTCAAGTCAAAGTTGCCACATCACACGGCGATCCCAATTCAACTGTCACCTGTCGTATTTCTGTTCCATCACCCTCATCCACAATTACGCATCGCCTCCGCCGCACAGGCAGCGAAGCAACACCGTGCAAATCACGAACATATTTTCATGCCCCTTCAATTTTTTCCGACAGAACATGTAAATATTTAAACACTAATATCTCACCGCAACGAACCATGGGCGGCAGGTCACGTCTGCCCGAGCACAAAACTACGTTACGTTGCGCCGCGCTGCTTATTTATTTACAGCGTTCCATCCCCCCCCCCCCCTTAAACGTACGACTCGCTGCCGAGATGCAACGTCTCATTTACAATGCGGTCATGCTGATGCCGCTGGGTCGCACGCCGTTAAAACAACAAACGACGAGGCGCCGTCTTTGACGACGCGACAAAAATAACCGAGCGCCGTCGGTGTTTTACGCGTTATGCTAAAAAGGGGGGGGGGGGGGGGCTAGGACCGCTGCGTGTGCGCTTCGCCCCGAGAACGCGCAGTATCCGCTCAGCGCGCTCCTACGTGCGCTGCCGTCCCTTTGACGGGCAGCGGCGTTGTTTGTTCGAATGAAAGCAGGGAGACATCGCGAGTCTGCCGGTCGGCGCGACAGGCGGAACAACGTCGAGAGTGTCTGGCCCTGCCCGTAAAAGCGTCCGAGGGTGCTCATCTCCACTGGTGGCCATAAATATCCGGCTGGTGGCAAATTTCACGCGAGCCGGGACGGTGGTGGAGGTAGCGGCGAGGGTTGGCGGATTGCACAAAACGTCGCGAAACTCCCTTTCCTGTGGGCTTCCAATTGCCGTAGCCTGGCTGGGTACAGCAATTGGACTCATCGCCATCTATTGGGGATAGAGCGTTGCTCCCTTGCACGCGTGGGTTTTCTCCGGGTGCTCCGGTTTCCTCCTATTTGCATGAACACTCGTTTATTGGTCGAAAACATTTAAAAATAAAAATGCCCAACGCAGGACCGTCCTGCAAAAGAATCCTTGGACTCAGTGTGACTATTCCTGTATAAATAATAATAATTATTATACAACATTGCAAGCCCATCTCTTCATAGGTCGACCACTGTTGACGTCTCGCATATTTACCTATCCCAGATGGATGATGGGCCGAGTCAACCAGGATTTCAGCTCGCAACTGGTCCGGTTGCAAGTCAAGCCCACAATGGCGCAAACACCACCCACGCCGCGGTGCACCGGCGTACACGCGTGACACGCGTGACACACGTTACATTTGAATACGCTTTCACTCAGCACCTTTGCATATCAAACGCGACACATATTGCATGCACTGATAAAAACTAAAATGTACTTTGAGTATACTCTCCAGCGCAATGGAGGCCATCAGCGCCACATCACCGCATTCTCCTTGCGACCGATGAGCGACCCCCAGGCACTCACCTCACCGGCAGCGTCCGGTCGCCCTTTCGCCGGTCCATCTCTCGCTGGGGCACCGGGTACCAGCGGAAGTTGAGTTTCCAGTTGAAGCCACCGTACGTCATGTCAGATCCGGTCAGATACTCAAAGGTCTCGTCACTGATGACGTCGATGACGGGACAGACCACTGCCCTCCTGTCAATTCACAGCGTTCCGTGTCAGCCGGGTTGCACGCGGGACGTTAAGAGCTCTCCGCGCGTCAAACATCATCACGGTGGCTGCCACCAGCTGCTTGCATTGAATGGATGTTGCAGCCAAGCGCTTTATACACTGCGTGTGTGTGTGTACGCATAGCGAATATATATGTAGGTATGTTGAACTTCCTTCGCAACGTACGTAGCCAACCGTGCTAATCGGAGGTGCGGGGGAAGGACAGCAAACTAAACACACAAAAAGCAGTTTTCAACAAATGAGTTTTCAATCTTGATTTTAAAACGCATAGCTCAAGTGGCTTCCGAATATCATAATGAATATATAGAGAACTAAGCTTCAAATTAGTAACAGGAAAAAACAATAATTTATATAATGCACATTAATTAAATATTGATTTGACGCAGCAATGAAGAATGCTCCAAAAAATATTAACAATTCATGAAAGGTGAAAATAGACTCCACACTTGCATAGCAGGTGTATTGGCCTATAACGGGAGTAAATTAACCCCTGGCCGATGATTTTATGAAGCCACTCCTCCACACACTGGTTCACATTCAAAAGCTTGACACATTTGTCGCCAAAACCGTCGTTGTCATCATCATAAGTCATGATTTATCCACTGCTAATGAAGGTCTTCCTCGAGCTGTCACCATCCTTTCATGGTCTCGCAATGCAAATGATCCATTGAGCCTAATTCATTGGTACTTCATCGCTCCCTCTCTGCAGTGGGCACCATTCCTCCTTCGGCTCCCACTCCGTCTAGCGATGTGTTCTGCCCGAGCCCACTTATTTTCCTTGATGCTCGAGTACGCGAGCTCCCTGTGAACCTGACGATGCTGACGATGCTGGATGTAATCTCCAAAGACAACACCGGTGGTTGGTGCTGAAGCGGTAAATCATTTGGCCACGTTTGATTCCGCACCTCCGATTAACACGGGTGGCGACGTATGGTGCAAAAGAAGTTAAACATACAACCATCCATATGTAGATTCACGTGACACTTTGAGTCATTACCTGTGTCGGGTGGATGAGGGTTTAGACACATTTTTCCACGACCTAATCAAGAAACCCAATTATGAATCTAAATACTGGTCGTGAAAGCGTGCGTATACACTTGGTCAATATGATGATATCTTTAGCTTGCATATTAACACAGTGTTCCATCGGTGCAAATTATCCGCGATGATCAATGGATTTGGAACATGGGCCTTGCCAAAAAATATGGAACAAAAGACAAGAGGTGTACAGGAAGCAGGAAAATACGAATTAAAGATGACGTGCAATTCGAGAACAAGCAAGACTACTCCGGCAGTCAAAACACTCCAATGTGGACTTCAACAACACTCCCGACGTGCCGTCGCTTCACCCCGCTGCGGTGTCACCACACGCGTACGCATGCGTGTAAAAAAAAACAAACCCAATTCGTGGCACGGACGCGAAGGGCTTTGGCCTAAAAGCACCGGCTCCTTTTGAGCGTGAACAACGGCGGGCGGCCGCTGCGCCGGCGGTGGCGGCGCACCTCTCACCTGTCCTCCTTGATCCTGGCCAAAAGGGGCTCCAGCCAGCCTGTCGTGGCCTCGCAGTGCGCGTCCAGAAACGTGATCACCTGACCCTGGGCGGCGGCCGCCCCCCTGAGTCGGGCGCGGATGAGGCCCGAGCGCTGCTCCATGCGGAGGAGCCGCACGGGAGTCTCCAGCTTGCGCACGTAGTCCTCCAGCGGCTTCTTCAGGAAATCTGCGGAGAGACGTTCACATCATCGTCGTCATTACCAATCGCCGCCGCTTAATATTTATACCGCGCCTCCCATGCAGGACTTCTCGAGGTGCTTTGGGTGGCAGGGAACGCCTGGTCACAGCCCTCCCTGTGAGGCACAAACTCAAGGCACCACCGGCCTGTAAGTGGGCATTCGTTTGCCAGCAGGGGGGCTGTGTTGCAATGCGGCATTTACCAATTAATTAATTTGTGTGTGCAATTTATCACACTCGGAAAATTTGGACCACTATTTTGGCACACATGGCCTACGCTTTTCCGAATTCACGTCAAGGGGATGTTTGACGCTCACCGTGAAGCAGGCGGTGTGTACCGCGGGTAAATGAACGTGCAGCATTAACCAGGGCGGGCCACTGGGTTCGAACCGCGGGGGCTATGCAACAAGGGAGAGCTCGAGGGCAGTGTGACGTGGTCACCCCGAGATGGCCTGTGAACAGCGAAATTGCTTGCAAGCAAAAACGGCTTAATTCCATTTTGCACACTTAACCCGAGCGATCTCGCCGGCTGTAAAAAATTAAATAAACTGAGCGCAAAATATAATAACAATTATTCACGTGAATATTTAATTGCAACAAGATTTATGAACATGCGGTAGGTAAGGTCAAAGGGTGGCGATTACAAAAGCACTCGGGAGCTTGCAACCTTACGAGAAATAGTAGCAGTATTTGTTTGGTTACGTTCCAACTTTTTTTGCCATCGCGGCAAATAATAACAAAACAAAAACTGGGACAATTTAGTGTTATATAAGCCACTGTGGGAAAAGCATTGGCACAATTCTGTTTTTGCACTCAAACCCACACTGCTGGTACCAAAGAGACTCCTTGCATCCCACCTTCCATCTGCCTCTAAAAACCTGCTGCACCATCCACTTTCCATCTGCCCCGAAGCCTCCACACAAATCCATCTTCTTCCAGGTCACTTTCTTTGTGATTTAGTGAGCAGCTGCTCGCTTTCCTGCGTGGCTCTGCACATCCCTCATCCTATCAGGCCGACAAGCCCCCTCAGCCACCATCCATCACTCGGCCCAAGCAAGAACGCACGAGGGGAAAGGCGAACGCCTCATTCCATTCTGCGGCCCAAGTGGTTCTTGACGATTTCACTTCTACATTCTGACGGTTTGTTACTAACGGTATTGAGAGGGGCCAAAAAATAAATAAACAGCTGAGCAAGTCAGTCCAATCAGGGGGCCTCCCCGGTGACTTTAAAACGCTCAGTGGCTTAAACGTCTGTAAAATACTCCAGCAAGGACTACACACGAGGTCAGTGTTATATATTCCACTTGGACGAGTGGAAAAATACAACGCATGGCTGTTGCACGTCTCTCCCGTGCAAAACCACCTGCGTACTCAAAAACTGTTATATATTCCACTTTGACCAGTGAACAATTGGTTATGGTTAGAAAAATTCGGATCCAGCAATAGTGGTGGTCAGGGGCTATTGCAACAGGCTATGAATCCCAGCACCTGAGTTGAATTCCCGGTGATGGCAAACATCAGTGACGAGTGATATCTGAACAACACCTAGCCCCGTCTCCGCACCTTTTCTAAACTATTTTATTTATTTTACCAGGTAAGGCCCACTCAGCTACATAGCTTTTTTTCAGAAGCGACCTGGCCACACATGATAGCCCAACGAAGTGGCTTATCACGTGGTAATGTATAGCAGCCAAATACTCTACACGAATGTTTCTAAATGTGATGGGAAAAATCGGAGGACCCGGAGAAAATTCCACACGGCCACAGGGAGAACATTCAAATTCCAAATGTACAGGCATCATCAGGGTCAGGATCGAACCCACGACCTCATGCGCATCAGGCGAGGTAGTCAACATCTCGCCACCGTGGCATCAATTTAGACTGACCAGTGTGGTGGTGAAGTAGCTCAAACCACCCCAAGAGGCAACATTGAGAGGCCTTTCAAGAGAGTATTCACATCAAACCAATTCACTAAAGCACCAGATATAACGACAAAAAGAAAACATTGCAGCACACAGATTTTTCGTGTAAATATTGGCGCACATTTGATTAAACATTTTTTAAAGTGTCTATTAACGTTTTTCCTAGCAAATAAAAATGTATGCATTGCTTTTCATTCTTATTGCTGATGCACACGAAGCGAGTTTAATTACGAGCAGATGTTGCCAAACAACCGACATTTTTTTTCATACGGAAATTCGTTCTAGTGTTCTCAAGTGGAGAAAAAAATACATTAACGAGCAAATCGGATTAAAAATCTTCACACCTTTCAAGAAAATATAACTTTTAAGTAACTAATTCGGCCGCATAACTTGCTCCTCTTGAGAACGGCACAGGGTGATGGTGACGATAAACAATTTAGTAAGAAAGCTATTTATGCAAGATACCACCAACTGGGAATATCCTTTTATATTTTCTCAAGAAGTCCTTTCATATTTTTTAATGGAAACTGGGCAGATAGGATCTGTCTGTCTTTGCTCGTGTATCATTAAAGACATTGGACCGCACACAGCACAATAAGCTGCTGGCATCGCGCAAGGACAAAAGTCTAACGCTGTTTCAGAGAGGTTAATGCCCCCTACTGATAACGCCTGATCCCATTACGAGTCAGGAATTTGGGGGTTCTCACGGTGGAGGGGTCGCCTCATCCAAGTCGAGCTCACGGCTGATCCTGCGTAGCGACTGGAATTGACGGACCCCTGGTTGCGGCGTGGAGTAGCGACTGACCTGGACGTACCCATTGCCCGGGATAATTCCCTTGACGGGCCAACTCAGTGAAGGGTTGTTTCGCTTTAACGGTGAGCTTGGTGTGAGTGGTGCGTGCCTGTGATCCGGCATCTTGGAGGCAAGGGATTGGTGGAGCGAACATTTGTGAAGATCGCAAAACCCTCCGGGCGGCGAGGTAGCCAGGAGAGATGAGATTACGGCAAAGCGAGAGCTTGGAATCCATCTGTGCAGAGTTTTTAAACGTTGTCCCCTCGTATGCGCGAGTTTTCCCTGGGTTTCTGTGGCAGCCACTCGTTCATGGAATCAGCCAAACGTCCCGATGGACGGCTCGCTTGAATAATAATAATAGTCCTATGTATATACTGTGTCGCTAAAAACTCAACGTATCATTCCATCACAAATGCATGCCTCGTGCCCATGGTTGAAAGAAAACCCTTGAGGGAACATCAATGATCAAAGATAATGTGCAATGCTTTCAAGAGCCCTGCAAATTAGTGTTACAACTGGAACACAGATGTATCAGGGTACTGTATTGCAAAACAAAAGGTCCATTATATTCTATGAAACAATTTAAAAGTATTCTTCTTCTTCTATTATTATCCTTGTGTCCATATGCAAGCATCTCTGCGTATCAAAGCTTTTTTTCAGGAGGTTCCTGTCAGGTTTTCGGGTTACTCTTTGGTTCTTTCGGTAAAGTCACGTAGAAAGAAAATAAATTGAATAATAGAATACGACGTTTCGATGTAGAACAAAATTTGAGAGAGAGACAAAACACAGACACGGAGACACACACACAAGCAGAGAGACGGAGACAACACAGAAACACAGAGAGAGAGAGAGACACACACAACATAGACACACACAACATAGACACACACAACATAGACACACACAACATAGACACACAGAGACCCAGGTTTTCTGGTGTTGTTGCTGTTGTGTGTAATCTCAATTGAGTAATTTGCAGGTAAACTTTCAGCATTCGGATGCTTGACCAATACCGGTTATATTGTACGTGTGTGTGTTTGTTTGTTTTTCTAGCCATGGAAGGATACCCAGAACACCTGGGTGAAAACCCACGCAGAACAGGGGGAGAAAAAACCCAACTCCGTCAAGAAAAAAACGGCGCCCGAGTCGGGAATCAAACCCAGGCCCTTCTGCCCGTGAGGCACGAGTGTTTTACAGCGCGGCACCCTTGCCCGCCAAAATCTCTTTCGCGATTGCAATAGACCGACCGTTTAGTTTCATCGCAGCCTTCTGAGATTGCACGCCGGAGAAGGGGAAAAAAACTAAATCCTCTCGTCAGATTTGCAACAAATGTGGTCTGCCGACAGTTTATCAGAACAATTGGTGCCTTGAAACGATATGGTGCCCCAGACCATAGGTCAAGGACAAGGTCAGAGTCAATTTTAAAAATGTCAGGAATCCGAGGCTTAAATTAAACGTGCGCAAGCAAATAAGCGGGAATAATGAGCCATTGCTTCTAGCGGGAACAATTTCCGCATAACAAGAAATAATGAAAGGAGATCTAATCATCCTTTTAATTGACCCTCCAGCACACTATAGCCTCAGACGGTCGCAAAGCTGTGACAAAAACTGGATTGTCATCACATATTTATACTCGGCCTGGAATGGCAGTTCAATCTAAAGTGGCTCAAGACATTTAACCATCATTTAAGCCACAAAACGGTGAAAGTGCCCAATAAAATACCCTTCAGAGCCAACGTAAGAGTCATTTTTTGCTGAGCTGTTTCAATTGCCAGTCAGTCGCTCAGCTGTCATCACACCCTCAGGATTCAATGAGCAAATTTCCCCATGGAAGGAATGGACGTTTGGCACTCCGTGTGACAATAATGCGAATCTCGGTGTCATGATGAAAATGGTGACATATTTTACATGAATGGCAGCAATGGAAAATGCTCACAAATACAATCAACGTTTTTTTTTCATTATTTTTTTTAAGCAAAACCTTCACAAGAATACGAATCTTGTAATTATTAGAACGCACGAGTCGTCATGGGCAACTGCACCAACATCACCGTTGGGTTAAAATGCGCATCGTGCAAAGTGTGAGCCTTATATAAGATAGAGAAGATAAAAAAGATGCGACCCTGATATTTCTTGCTCATGCCACTGCTGGAAGAAGGGCATCCATTATAGAGACACTCCCACGCCGGCCAGATGACTTGGAAGAGGTGGGAGAAGCCGTGCTTTGCCCCACCACACGTGGACCTGCCGATCGACTGAAATGTTACTACTGAA